TGTTGGCCAGGATGGTCTCAATTTCTTGACCTCGTGATCCGCCCGCCTCAGCCTCCCAAAGTTCTGGGATTACAGGTGTGAGCCACTGTGCCCATCCCTCTGTTCCCCTCTTAACTATGCTTTTCGTTGAAAATGGGTTATTCTCTGAGCAAAATTATTTGAAAGACTTGATAAGAGTATTTGTTTATTCATATTTCTCAGAATTTTCTGTGAACATTCTGTTTCTGCATACCAAGCTATGCAAAGTATCAACAAAAAGGTTTTTCATTACTTCTATTTGGTAGATATTCTTAGAGTTGGGGTATAGCTGGGGTTGGATAGAAAACCATGTTTCTGGCCCCCTCCACAAAACATCAGATTTACTAGTTTTAAGTTAGGTAAATCTAAAAAACGTATCCTTGCAGATGAGGACATTTCTTGATATGAACTTTTTCTTCTTAGTGGATATCTTAACTTATGTAGCCTGGAAGTTGAGCGCATTTCCCAAAAACCGTGTTATTGGAAGTGGTTGTAATCTGGACTCTGCTCGTTTTCGTTACTTTATTGGGCAAAGGCTTGGCATCCACTCTGAAAGCTGTCATGGGCTGATCCTTGGAGAGCATGGCGACTCAAGTGGTAAGGCTGAGGCACGATTGGAGCCTCTGCAATATCTATTTCCTACCAATCATATAGACATTTAATGCAAAGTAGCTCCTGGGAGGGGAGAAAAGACTTTATTCCACTTTAGGCCCTTTTAGTAGTAATTTTTTACTACACTTATTTTTAAAATAACAAAAAATACAGATTTGAAAAATGTGAGATTGACACTATAATCCTACATATGGATGGCTAGGATTATAATGCTTTTCTTAAATAGAGAACTAAGTAACACGACATAGTTTGTATTTAATTTGGGACACTCTAGTTCACAAAGGTCAGCAGTGTACTTCATGTAGTAGGCATTCTTCAGATTAAGGGATGGGTATAACTGAAGAATGTAAGAGGGAAGAGAAAGAGTACTGTGGTAATAGTCTTTTTCTCCCCTCTTAGTGTCTTCTGGCTAAAAAACCTTTGAAATCTATTTAATATAAACCTTGGCTATGGAAAAAGACTTAAAAGGTAGAAAAACTAAAACTTCTTAGTGGAAAGTTTAAAACTGCAATTTTCTTATTTGCAGAATCTTTGCCAAGATAATAGAATTGTGGATCCCCCTCTGTGGAGATCTGGATTTAGAATATCTGGAGTGGGGCTCAGATATCAGAACATTCCTAGTTGAAAACCACTCATAACAGTTTTGCTAAGGTCAAAAACCAAAACCCTGCTAATACTATGCTGTAAGAAGTGGGATTTTGGGTATCTCTTTCTTAGTTCCTGTGTGGAGTGGTGTGAACATTGCTGGTGTCCCTCTGAAGGATCTGAACCCAGATATAGGAACTGATAAAGATCCTGAGCAGTGGGAAAATGTCCACAAAAAAGTGATTTCCAGGTAATACACGCTAGTTTCACATTTTCAGTACCTTAGAAGTTGTGAGCCTGAACTCTGTTAGAAGGTTGAGATTAGTCCCTTAAGTATATGTTGTTGTATTTCCCATATTTTTATTTGCACTTCTGCTTTTTTGTGTGATCATACTCACCAGATTATAAATTCTTCAACAGTCAGGGACTGATTCTATGTTGCTCATTCCTGAGCCTAACCCAGTATTGAGCACATGGTAGGGGCTCACTTGTTGACTGACAATGTATTTTTTCAAACACTTGCTATATAGTGTTTATTGTTAGTGGTGGAATTAATTCCATATTAATTTCTGCATCTCTGTACTTGTAACTCTAATGTTTAACCACCATGGCAAGGCATGGTGGCTCATGCCTATAATCCCAGCACTTTGGGAAGCTGAGGTGGGAGGATCACTTGAGCTCAGGAGTATGAGACCAGCCTGGGCAACATAGGGAGACCCCATCTCTACGAAAAAAAAAAAAAAAAAAATTAGCTGAGCGTATGGTGGCTTGCTTGAGCCCAAGAGGTCAAGGCGAGCTCTGATGGTGCCACTGCACTCCAGCTGAGACCCTCCCTAAAAAAGGCATACATATGGCCAGGCGTGGTGGCTCATGCCTCTAATCCTACCACTTTGAGAGACCAGGGTGGGCAGACCACTTGAGGTCAGGAGTATGAAAACAGCCTGGCCAACGTGGTGAAAACCCAGCTCTACTAAAAATACAAAAATTAGCCACAAATGGTGGTGCACACTTGTAATCCCAGCTACTCAGGAGGCTAAGGAGGGAAGACTGCTTAAACCTGGGAGGTGGAGGTTGCAGTGAGCCGAGATTGAGCCACTGCCCTCCAGCCTGGGCGACAGAGCAAGACTTAAGAAAAAAATGCATACATACTCCAAGTAATTTCTAGGAGAAGTTGTTGATGGAGTCATTGCAGTTTTGTGGCATTGTTAGATAGGATGCTATAAAGTGGAAGTTCAATGACAAGTGGATCTTCTCAACTAACTTATGTTTATGGTTTCTTCTAACTACAGTGGCTATGAGATGGTCAAAATGAAAGGTTATACTTCTTGGGGCATTAGCCTATCTGTAGCTGATTTAACAGAAAGTATTTTGAAGAATCTCAGGAGAGTGCATCCAGTTTCTACCCTAAGTAAGGTAGGACATTCACGTTTGAAAAATCATTAACTTCAACATAAAACAGGGGTAAATAACATTTTTGAGACACTCCGGTTTTGGGTTTGATCTCATGGAAGAACCTCTCTTCCTGAAGTCTGTTCTTTGCTGCTGAAGAGTGGGGAGATCGGGGAAAGAGTCTATCTTTATAGACCTTTGTCCTGGTCTAGCGTGACATTTCCTTTTATTAGATAAAAGTGAGTGTTTTTGCAACTTGATTATTTAACTAAGTGATCTGACTCTACCAGTATCTGGAAACACTGGGAACCACTATGGGCAGACCTTGGTACCTTTGGAGTTGTTCTCTTTGTTTCGATTATGTCCAATGAAGAGATCTAGGAAAAAAGCACTAGACACAAAAGAATTAGCAGTCTCCTGGGGAGAGGGGAGTTGGGGCATGGGTGAGATCCTTCTGCTAGTCTAAATGGGAGAGGTTATAAAACAAGAGAGATCTAAATCATTGGAAATAAAGTCATAGGAATTTTGAAGTGGTCTCTTGATAGGAAGTGGTATGGAGTAAGGAGATGAGGAAAGAAGGGTGGGCCCCAGCAAACATGGCAGGAGGCTGGGGCCCATGTGGAGAGATGGTGGGTTGAAACTGAACAATAAATATGTCTAATCATGTTTTAAATTGTTCTCTGTCTTGGTACTCTGCCATAGTTTGTACTATCAATCTGTTATTCATTCACCTCACAACTGTTGTTTCTCATATTGCAGACCTTTGTTAAAAGTTAAAAAAGGAATAATTTTTAAGTCTTTACTTTCAGGGCCTCTATGGAATAAATGAAGAAATATTCCTTAGTGTCCCATGTATCCTGGGAGAGAATGGCATCACAGACCTCATAAAAGTGAAACTGACCCTTGAAGAGGAGGCCTGCTTGCAAAAGAGTGCAGAAACACTCTGGGAAATTCAGAAGGAACTCAAGTTTTAAAGTTGCTTAAAGTTACCATTCTATAGATTGAAGATGAAATAGTAGTTATGGAATTGTATATGTCAAACTTTAAAATAAATTTGAATTTCTAAAAGTTAGAAAAATAGAGGAAAGAGTGACCTATTTAGTGTAGCCTTCCAGCTTTTTTTTGGGGAGTGGGTCTCATTCTGTTACCCAAGCTGGAATGCAGTGGCACCATCACGGCTCACTGCAACCTTGACCTCCCGAACTCAGGTGAGCCTCCCACTTCAGCCTTCAGAGTAGGTGGGACCACATGTGTGTGCCTCCATGCCTGGCTAATTTTTGTATTTTTTTGTAGAGATGGGGTTTTGAACTCCCAAAGTGCTGTGATTACAGGGGCGAGCCACTGTGCTTGGCCTTAGCTTTGATTTAGTATCCAGATGATGGACGACACTTTTTTTTTTTCCAAACAAAAGTGATGGCATCAAAGATGTTTTTGGTATCTTTTAGTACTTGCCTTGTATGTATACGTAACTGCCATCTGGTCCATGAGAATGTGTATGCTGTGTTATAGAAATCTTGATTCTTTTCATCAGGTGCATAGTAATTCTTCTCTATGGCTTAATACCTGTGTTTACATGCCATTTAATAAAAGCTTTAATTTCCTCTACAATGTAAAAATAAAAATATATATATACACACACACACAAAGTAATCTAAATGTTCCTAACATTAGATAAAACCTTGATTTGACCTTGCTGGTTTTTCTTCTGGTAACTTTTATGAGTGCATTTTAATTTTTACAGGAAAGGTCTTAAGCTGTAAACCCCTTGGTGACAACAGATTAAACTGGTCGTTCTTCTCTTGGGAGTAGAATGGGCTGCCTAATTATCTTAATAACATCCCAAATCGGAATATACTTTCCTTTATAGCCTCATGAGCCTTCTAGCACTCTCATTTTGATCAAGAACATTCTATTCTGGATGAGCTCTGCAGGACATACAGTAGCTACATAGTTCATTGGGTGGTCACAAACTTGGCTACAGAATCACTCACCATGAAGACGAAACTTTAAATGACAAAGCAGGGAGGCAATGGTACACTGTATCTTTCCCTTTAATCCTAAAGTTATCAGGTATATAGTTTGGACCTGCCACTGTGCTCCTTTCTGATGAAAACACTTATGGTTCACTGAGGCCTAGAAAGGAAACAAATTTAGTAGGGTTGGTAGGAGAGTATCACCTTGGACCTTTCACAGATAAGTTACTCAAATCCTTTAACTTCAAATATTTCAAAATTTAGATTTCTATTTGGTATATCCCCATATTAATTCACTTCATATGCTGTAGAATAATACTAATTTCAACTTAAGATGGATTTTATGCTTTTTTTGCTAAATGAAAAGTTGGGCTTATTAAGGTTTCATGGATCTTTCCTAAAGTTCAATAAAGGAGAGAAAAATTATGCAACAAATTTTATTTAGCAGTCCCAACATTCAGCACAAAAAGTTTACAGAGGATAGAAAGTGCATTAATAAAAGCCAGTCTTTACCAAAAGAAAACAGAAAATATATTATTGATTCAAAATATTTTACACTTGAATGATAAACTGCAATAACTTATTCTGGGCACCTACTGATAAGAGAAAGGAAGAGAAGAAAAGAATACTTTAAGAAGAGCTCAACTTCCAGCTGGTATCAGAGAAGTCAGTAGAGGTCACTGAGACCGGCAGTCTTTCTTGCTTTTTGCATTAGTGCCCTCAGCTGGAACTGTTTACGGGACAGAAGACGTACATGCTGGGAGGGGAAAAAAATTTGAATAGTTTAGAATGGCTTTGATTTAGGCCCAGTCATAAAATATCAGACAATTTGTAACCTAGATAGGATCTAAGAACCCTAACTCAACCTGTCAACCTTTGGAAAGAATACCTCATTACATGTGGCTTTTAAACTTCATATTATAAAGGCTTACTCAACAGGGAAAGCATTACATTGCAGGATCTGGCTCAGGAGTTTGACTTACACTTTCTTTTCCTAAGCCATGCCACTCAAGCAAGAGATTGTACAGAAAGAGTCCTCTCTTGGGTCTCTGGTTTACATCCAGCCATTCTTGTGGTTATACCACTTCTGAGGCACATAGTTTGGCCATTCCCCCATAGTGAGGAGACAGGCAAGATCAGCACATGACCTGACCTGGCTCCAGCTGCAGCTGGATCAAATATCCCAAGGGTGGCTGCTATTATTCCTAAAACCATGTTCTCCATGACCCAAGAGACAGCAGTAGCCAAACTTCACTTACTAGATTTTCCTCTGTACAACAGCATTAAGCTTGAGACAACTTTCATTCAAGAGGGCTTGAAAGGACAGCCTGATACCTTGAAGGGCTGTCTGATGTGGGAAAACTGGTCTAAAGTTATATAACTCTAAGAAAATTAACAGATAAAAAATGGAGGTGGCACAATCAGTGATCTCAGGTGGTATGACCCCAAAGAACCAATGGAAATCTGATCGTGCCTCCTGATCCACCCAGGCACAGAATTACACTCATCTTAATGCTGCCTGGTGGATAGAGAACTGCAGCCACCAGCCCACTTTTCTTCCCCTGCTCAGATCAATCCTCAGTACTCTGTAGGTAAAAAGATGGCACAAAACCCTACATCTCATTTGCTGTCTTTTGGGAAGATAAAGAATCTTAATTCACACTACAGAGAAACTCTCTTGGTTTGTGGTTTGCAAGGTCAGGGTCTCTACAGCCCAAGTTAAAAAATCTTGGAAAGTAAAATGAAGACATACCTTCAGGAAGACATCCAGGTCTATCACTCCCCTTCTCAAGGCTTCTCCCAAGTAAAAGATAGTGTCTTCAATAGCGTTTTCTTCTGCATACAAATTCAGGATCTGTTTGTATAAGGGAGCTGTGGGAATGATAACTTCATCGATATCATTGTTTTCAGACTGATTTTCCATTTTCTCCAGAGCAGAACTGAGTTCTTCATCCTTCTTTTTCAAAAGTTCTATGTTTTTATCAACCTCGGCCTGAAAACAGAACAGTCCAAGCATTATTAATTGTACATAATTATCCACTTATCAGACATCTACAACACTTCACAGAAAAAGGTGGGCTAATAACCATGTTTAAATAACTCATGGATGAGAATCATGTTTCAGATAGCACCCTGGTCAAAGGTAGAGGAAAAGATGTGATCTATGCTGAGTGAAATACAGTAATGATGGAGATATCCTGAGCTGACCACTTTCAGAGACGGTAACAAGCTTGTCACTTGTCAGTGACAAATGATCCTGCAAACTAAGCCGTCAGACAAGATACTTTCCAGCAGAAGGTTCCTTTACATAGAAAATCATAAGAGGTTTTTCTTCTCAGCAAGTAGGCATCTGCCATAGGAGAGTAACTTTCCCGTCTATGAAGAGGATTCAATGCATAGAGGCCCAAATGTCTGTATTCTAATCACAAAGTATCACACGCAGGTGATGGCTGTAGGCTCTGAGTTGTATTGGTGTCACTTTCCTGAATTCTAAAAATTGGCTACTTCGAAGCTCATTTTATAATCTAGAACCACTTTGTAAGGCTAATGGGTACATACAAATCACTTTCCACAGCGCCCTCAACCTTCTAAGAATTCTTGACTCTTCCATCAAAAAGGCACATTTACTGGAATAAATTCTCCCTCATGGGGATGAAAATGGAGCATGAAATTGGCATTTCAATTATGCTGATGCCTCCACTTTATCATCATTAAGCAAAGCCACAGGGCTGACTTACACATGGACTCTCCAAGGCACAGCTGTCTGTTATAAATATGAGAAAGCTTAAAGAGCTGAAGGTTGCATATGCTATGTTTATATGTAGCTCTTTAGCCAACCAAGTATCTCTGGATTCTTGTGAAAGTTCCCCGAACATACTTTTAAAGATGGCTCACACAACCTTTGGAAACAATAAAACAGTACTGTCCTTTTAAGTCTGCACCTAGGATGTAGAGATCTTTATCATGGCTTAGAGCTCTCAACTTATTTCCTAGTAACTGGCAACATCAACCACTCAAACAGTCCTCCGTTGGGTTAAAACATCATTTCCTAGGGCAAAGGTGTGTTATGGTCTGGCTGTGTCCCCACCTAAATCTCAACTTGAATTTTATCTCACAGAAAGGGACCTGTGAAGGGGCGGAGGCGGTAATGGAATCATGGGAGCCGGTCTTTCCTATGCTATTCTCATGATAGTGAATAAATCTCACAAGATCTGATGAGTTTATCAGAGGTTTCCACTTTTGCTTCCTCCTCATTTCCTCTTGCCACCACCATGTAAGAAGTGCCTTTTGGTTGGGTGTGGTGGCTCATGCCTATAATCCCAACACTTTGGGAGGCCAAGGTGGGCAGATCACTTGAGATCAGGAGTTCGCGACGAGCCTGGCCAACATGATGATACCCCGTCTCTACTAAAAAATACAAAAATTAGCCAGGCATGGTGACAGGCACCTGTAATCCCAGCTACTGGGATTAAATAAATAAGGAGGCTGAGGCAGGAGAATCGCTTGAACCTGGGGGGTAGAGGTTGCAGTGAGCCAAGATCATACCACTTCACTCCAGCCTGAGCAAGAGTGAGACTCTCTCAAAAAAAAAAAAAAAAAAAAAAAAGAAATGCCTTTTCCCTCCCACCATGATTCTGAGGCCTCCCCAGCCATGTGGAACTGTAAGTCCAATTAAACCTCTTTTTCTCCCCAGTCTCGGATGTGTCTTTATCAGCAACATGAAAATGGACTGATACAAGGTGCAAACAAAATGGTCTAAATATTATTCCCCTCCCAATCAAAGACCAAATACCAGACATAGGCTCCACTGTAAACAAAGCTATAAAAAATTACATTCACATGTCTAAAGATGCCTATAATTTTCTGAACTCCTATTATGCCCACAACATCCAGGATACATATAGAACACTTTGCCATGGCTACAATTCAATCCAAAACTTTTAAGTCTTTAATGAGTCACTTACTACTTCTTGATCTAAACGGGTAACCATCTCTTCCAGTTTTTGGTGACCCTTTTTCAGGTCTTCTTCTGTTCGTTTCAAGGCATTGAGCTCTGCCTGGGCACGATCCATTTCCTCCTTCATCCGCCATCTCAGTTTGTCACTGACCGCTGAGATGAGAGAGGCTCGGATGGTGTCCTCGCTGATTGTGCCATCCCTACTGGGACCTGCAGGAAACAGAGGCAAAAAACACTTGCTTACTTCCCAAGTTCCTTCTATTCGTCTCACAGGAACCTTCAGAAAAGAGGGCAATATGAACCGACACTTTCAAAATGTGAGGAAAGAAAAAAATTACGTTTCATCAGAAACAATGTAAAAAATCTGAGTTGATTCAGAAATACTTGCCCTGAAAGAGATTACTATTAATCCATGTTAAACCCAGTTTCCCTATTCATAGCCCAAACAATTAGCTATTTTCTCAATGAGACAGAGGCTATATCCCTACCAATTGCAATTATTCCTAAATCACCAACAAATGGCACGATAATTTCCACCAAGGAAAAACATTTGATGCAGGCAAAGTCCAATATCAGGCTTCATTGCTAAGCTGAAGGAGACAGGTGCCCATTGTAGCAGCCAGTGAGGACTGAGAATGGGCAGTTTCCCTAAACGAATGTACAGTTTAATAAGGCTCCCCTCTGTAAGACTTTCACTCCTTCACCCTTTACCAACAGGACAGAATGGATAAACAAAAAAGAATGACATCCAAAAATTCAACAGCTGATAAAGTGTTTATTCCCAGATTATTCTCTTCCAAATGTCCCTTCCTAATCAGTGTATTATATAATTTCCATGCATATTTCAGATCAAATAAACATCCCCTGGATATTTTCTTCAAAAAGGTCTCCTTTTTAATATAAAGGTTGGGTATTCTTTTTTTTTTTTTTTTTGAGACGGAGTCATGCTCTGTCGCCCAGGCTGGAGTGCAGTGGCCGGATCTCAGCTCACTGCAAGCTCCGCCTCCCGGGTACACGCCATTCTCCTGCCTCAGCCTCCCAAGTAGCTGGGACTACAGGCACCCGCCACTTCGCCCGGCTAGTTTTTTGTATTTTTTAGTAGAGACAGGGTTTCACCGTGTTAGCCAGGATGGTCTCGATCTCCTGACCTCATGATCCGCCCGTCTCGGCCTCCCAAAGTGCTGGGATTACAGGCTTGAGCCACCGCGCCCGGCCAAAGGTTGGGTATTCTTTATGACTATCAGTGTTCTTCAGTTATTGTCCTAAATCAGCAAAAGTGTAAATGGCATTTTGACTTAATTATGTTTGATTATAAAATACTATGTGAGGACATAAGTATATTTAACCTTAATTGCCTTTTTTTTGAGATGGTGTCTCACTCTGTCACCCAGGCTGGAGTACAGTGACATGATCTCGGCTCACTGCAACCTCTACCTCCTGGGTTCAAGCAACTCTCCTGCCTCAGCCTCCCGAGTAGCTGGGATTTCAGGCACACATTACACATCACAATGCCCGGCTAATTTTTGTATTTTTAGTAGAGATGGGGTTTCACCATGTTGGCCAGGCTGGTCTCAAACTTCTGACCTCAAATGATCCACCTGCCTGGCCTCCCAAAGTGCTGGGATCATAGGTTTGAGCCACTGAGCCTGGCCTTAATTCCTTCTTAACTCCTGAAGTTCTCTTTAGCATCTTCCCACAAAGGCAAAAACCTTCAACACATCTCCAAAGAAGACTGAAACCATTAATGGGTGCCTCCGACTCTCGTTTCTCCCACTTCTTTTGGAACAAGAATCCTAACCCCTTTATTTACATGCCTGATTCCTCACTGTTCACAAGTATAAACTTCCCTTTCTCAGCAAGACAGCTTGCTTTCTTCCAGATCCTTCCGAAGGACCAGATGCTTTTAAGCTTGTACCTACTTCTCTAATTCCAATGAGTCTAAGTCCAACAACTGCTTTTACGATTATGCTTTTGTTCTTATTCTCTGGTTAAGGCTCTTAGCTAAGTTAAGGCCCATTTATTCACTTCTCTTACCAGCCCCAAACCGTGGGTCATCTTTGAAGCCCTATTCTCTCTAGTGTGTTTACATCCTCTGAGGTCAACTCCAGTCTTAGCCAACATCACTCTCTAATTCATGCACATTCTCAATAGAAGTGATATCCCCCAACAACTGGGCAAAAATTGGTTTGAGGTGGAAAAAAAAAGTCTTGTTCTTATGTATAAAGCAGAGATATCCATACAGTACCTAAACAGATACACAGTATAATCAACATTTGTCGGGGGTGGGAATTGTTAGGGGAAAAAAGTCTAAAAAGTCTTCCTAGGAGGGTGACAATGAAAAAAAAAAAAAAGTTAGGAAACACTGCTGAAATTCATCTGTGATCTTGTTTTTCAACTAGATGTTTTGTTGCTACTGTAAACTTCTACTTGCTGGCCTTGTCACTACCATTCCAATCTCTTTTCTTTTTCTTTTTTTTTTTTTTTTGAGACGGAGTCTTGCTCTGTTGCCCAGGCTGGAGTACAGTGGCACAATTTGGGCTCACTGCAACCTCTGCCTCCCAGGTTCAAGTGATTCTCCTGCCTCAGCCTCCCAAGTAGCTGCAATATAGGCATGCACCACCACACCTAGCTAATTTTTCTATTTTTGGTAGAGATGGGGTTTCGCCATGTTGGCCAGGCTGGTCTCAAACTCCTGACCTCAAGTGATCTGCCTGCTTCATCCTCCCAAAGTGCTGGGATTATAGGCATGAGCCACTGAGCGTGGCCTTATCCCCATCTCATTCTTAAACTTAAGATCCACATCAGCTACATTTAAATTAAGCTAAACACAACCTATGAAAAGCAAACTTCCTGAAAGCCTTGTGAATTACCTGGGTCTTCTAATTACCTGTTAGATGATCCTGCTTTTTACCAAAACCATCAACAAACTCTGTCAACAAACTCTGTCTAAGCCATTCTAAACTAACAAAAAAGTTTAATGCTCTCAAATATCAGATCCCATCTTCTCTCTACCATTAAATTATGGTGAAAGCTAATCTTTGCCAATGATCTTTCCTCCATTAACAATAATTCCCAAAATATCAGCACAACAAATAGAATCTGCTCTCTCTTAACAGTTATCACTACACTTATTAGTTTAAAAACCTATTTTCTGAAGGAAAGGACTCTATAATCCTTATTATGCAGCCTAAATCCTAAATGTTAAGGGTGGCAAACTGTTGCTGAATGATTTCCTGAAATCAACAGAATTGGTTATCTTCTAGGAGTCCTACAGAAAAGGCTCAGATGGTTAGAAGTCCTTAGGATGTGCTTTTTTGGAAACTTTCCTTCTCTTGCCTTCTGCTGGAATGTAGAAGAAGGTAATTATTAAAATTGTTTATAAATATACAAGTGCTCAAAAATAAATAGTAAGGTGGTATTAAACCAAATGAAAGAACTCATCAGTATCTCTACTACCTGAAAATCAGAAAAGTGAACTGCTAAAACTCTACTGCTTTGAAGGCATGTGGTTGGAAAGAGTGCTGAAAAGTCATTACTAGAGTAAAATATTTAAAATTATGGATTTCCAAGGCCAGGTGCAGTGGCTCAAGCCTGTAATCCCAGCACTTTGGGAAGCCGAAGCAGGCGGATCACAGTTCGAGACCAGCCTGACCAACATGGTGAAACCATGTTTCTACTAAAAATACAAAAATTAGCTGGGCGTGGCACACGCCTATAATCCCAGCTACTCAGGAGGCTGAGGCAGGAGAATCACTTGAACCCAGGAGGCGGAAGTAGAAGTGAGCTGAGATTGCGCCATTGTACTCCAGCCTGGGCGACAAAGCAAGACACCATCTCAAAATAAAATATAAAAAATAAATAAAATTATGGATTTCAGTAACAGTGACAGGAGGCAGCCAAATGCCTGGGCAGATGGGGTGGGTCCCCGGTGAAACACCACCTTCAAGCCAAAAACAGCCGAAAGGCTGAAAGATTGGACTGTAGGTTCTGGATGAAACCCCTGACATAGAGTGAGAACTTCTATTCCTGTTTGCTCACCCTTTCCCATTGATTCCTTCTAAATAATGCCTTTTAACCAATCAAATGTTACCTTTTCCAATACTACCTATGGCCTACCCTGATTTCCTAAGAGCCCCTAAGAAGCCCCAGGACTCTGGGAACTTTCCCACCTTTGGGTAGGGGAACCACCCCCGTGTCTCCTTTCCACTGAAAGCTATTTCATCACTCAATAAAACTCCCTGTCTTGCTCACGCTTTGATTGTCAGTGCATCCTCATTCTTTCTGGGCACAGGACAAGAACTTGGGAACCAGTGGTAAGCCAGACTCGGCCCAAGTGGGCCGAGTGGGAGGGCTGTCTCCTGCAGCAGGAAGCATGGTTGAGGGAGGCCCAGGCAGGGTGTCGCTGGTCAGAGGTCCCTGGCTTGCAGACTGAGAAGAAAATCTTGCATCATCAACACTATCACTGCTTCACTTTATTCAAACAATTTTGCCCAACCAGCCACCATAATTCAGTGCTAAGCCCCTTCGGCAGTTAAATTCTTTAAATATTTCTGTCCCCAAGGGAACATCCAAATTCTTTAGCATAGAATACTACCATAATTCCCATAATTCAATCTCTTGGACTTGCTTTGGTTTCCATTTTTGCCAGGGAGGGGAAAACTGATTTATAATTTTGGTCTCTCACAACAAATTCGAAGGATGAGAAAAAATGTAAACTGCAATACAGTTTGAGAAAACTACTAAAACACCTTAACACAAGGAAGAATAAACATGAGATCTTTGCTGTAACCATTAAAATGCTTTTTCTAGTAGAGAGGTAGTCTCTCAATGTTGCTCAGGCTGGTCTCAAATTCCAGGCTCAAGCTATCCTCCTGCCTCAGCCTCCTGGAGTGCTGGGATTACAGGCATGAGCCACTGTGCCTGGCATCCCACCTATTTGCTATTGCAAAAAAACAAAAACGAAAGAAACAAAAAACCTCAAAGTATAGGAATCTGCTATAATACCTGGTTTGTAACAGGAGTGATGGCCCAGCTCATGCTTCAGTGAGCATACATCCTCCTTTTCCATTGCTACATGTTGCCCATCTCATCTTCAATATTATAGTATCAGGCAGGAAGCTTTTGGCAGATCTTAATTTTTTTTTTCTTTTGTGTTCAGTTATTTTTTGTTTTCAACTGATAAAATTTTTATTTCACTTTGAATTTTTACA